TAGGATAAGAACCTCATTCATCTTCTGAGCACTTACTCTTTACAAGTTTAAGCAGCAAATTGAATTAATATATTGACTTCCATAAAGGCTATTTTTAGAATATACATTTTACCTTTACATTACTAGAATCATAGAACATAGAATTGAGCTTGTAGCTGGGAATGATAAGGTTGAATCCCCATCATCATGGGAAGGGTTGACAGGGTAGACATCCTAGTGAGCGTCTACTATAAACTGCCGAACCAGGATGAAGAGACAGATGAGTGTTGTATGAGCAGCTGGCAGAAGCTCCACGATCACCAGCCCTTGTCCTCATGGGGGACTTCAACTTCCCAGACGTATGCTGGGAATACAACACAGTGCAGAAAAAGCAGTCTAGGAGGTTTCTGTAGTGTATGGAGGATGACTTTCTGATGCACTGGTGAGAGAGCCTATGAGATGAGCTGCCCCACTAGACCGACTTTTCACAAACAGATAATGTCTGGTGGGAGATGTGGAAGTCCGGGGCTGTCTTGTAAAGGGTGACCATGAAATCGTAGAGTTCTCAATTCTTGGTGGAGCAAGGAGGGGGAGCAGCAAAACTGCTGCTACCTTGGACTTCTGGAGGGCAGATTTGAATTGTTCAGAAGACTAGTAGGGGAAGTCCTCTGGGATTCAGTCTTAGAGAGTAAAGGGGTCCAAGACGGCTGGTTGCTCTTCAAGAAAGAAGTCTTAAAGGCGCAGGAACTGCCTATCTCCCTGAACTGCAAAACGAACCGGCAGGGAAGAAGACCAGCATGGATGAATAGGTAGTTATTCTTGAGGCTCCGGGAGAAAAAAAGAAGCTACCTACTGTGGACGAAGGGACAGACGACTCAGAAATAATACGGAGAAGTTGATGAGTGGAGAGAAAATAAGAAAGGCAAAAGCCCAGCTTGAACTCAACCTGGCTGCTGGGGTAAAAAGGAGCAAGAAACTCTTTTACAAATACATCAACAGTAAGAGGAGGACTAAGGAGAATCTCCTTTCTTTACTGGATGAGGCTGGGAATGTGACCACTGAGGATAAGGAAAAGGCAGAGGTTCTGAATGTGTTCTTTATGTCTGTCTTTAAAGGTCAGACCAGTTGTCCTCAGGGTACTCCACTCTCTGACCTGGTAGTCTTGGCTGGGGAACAGACTAAACCTCCCACGATTCAGGAGGTAGCAGTCAGAGACCTACTACTCTAAATGGACTGTCATAAGTCCATGGAGCCAGATGAGATTCACGCGAGAGTGCTGAAGGAACTGGCGGAGGTGATAGCCGAGCCACTTTGCATTATCTATCAGCACTCCTTATTGACTGGTGAGGTCCCAGAAGACTGGACACTTGCCAATGTGACTCCCATCTACAAGAAGGGTTGTAAGGAGGACCCGAGGAGCTACAGGCTTGTTAGCCTGACCTCGGTGCCAGGGAAGGTTATGGAGCAGATTGTCTTGAGGGAGATAACGCAGCATGTGCAGGACAACCAGGGGATCAGGCCTAGCCAGCATGGGTTCAAAAAGAGCAGGTCCTGCTTGACCAACTTGATCTCCTTCTATGATCTAGTGACTGGCGGACAAGGGAAAGACTGTTGATATAGTCTACTTAGACTTCAGCAAAGTCTTTGACATTGTCTCCCACAGTATTCTCCTGCAGAAGCTGGCAGCCCATGGCTTGGACAGGTACACTCTTGGCTGGGTAAGGAACTGGCCCAGAGGGTGGTAGTGAATGGAACTAAATCCAGCTGGTGACTGGTCACAAGTAGTGTTCCCGAGGGGTCGGTGCTGGGGTCTGTCCTCTTCAATATCTTTATTGATGACCTGGATGAAGGCATTGAGTGCACCCTCAGTAAGTTTGCAGATGACACCAAGTTGGCTGGAAGCGTCAATCTGCCTGGAGATAGTGAGGCCCTACAGAGGGGGTCTGGACAGGCTGGAGAGCTGGGCTGAAGCCAATGGGATGAGTTCCAACAAGACCAAATGCTGGGTCCTGCACTTTGGCCACAACAACCCCAGGCAATGCTACAGGCTTGGGGTGGAGTGACTGGAAGACTGCACAGATGAAATGGACCTGGGGTTATTGATTGATGAGGGAGCTGGGATTTTTAGTTTGGAAAAGAGGAGGTCCAGGGGAGACCTTATCACTCTCTACAATTACCTAAAGGAAGATTACGGTGAGGTGAGAGAAGAGGTCATCCTTTTCCTCCATGTAACTAAAGATAAGACAAGAGAGAATGGCCTCATGTTGCACCAGGAGTGATTCAGGTTGGACGTTAGGAAATACTACTCCAAAACTGTGGTCAGGTGCTGGAATGGGCTACCCAATGAGGGGATAGAGTCACCAACTCTAAAGGTGTTCAATAAACATTTAGATGTTGTACTGAGGGACGTGGTTTAGTGGGAAACACTAGTGATAGGTGGACAGTTGAACTGGATGATCTTGGAGGTCTTTTCCAGCCTTGGTGACTCGATTCTAGGAATACAGTATGTTTCTGAAAGGAAGAATATGCTGACATATAATTATAGTTAAGAAGAAAACTGCATTTAAGTAATTGTTAGTCTGCTTCTGGTTACTATTTAGAGACTTTTATGAGTGCTATGTATGACAGCAATGCTTTGTTTCTCTGCAGTGACAATTTATTAGATTTGAAGATATATTTTAGGGTGGCTTGTGTAAATACTTCAAACTAAGAATAATTTTTTTAGCACTTGCATGGGTAATTCTTGGAGGGGAAGATCCAGAAGATAACTTTCATATAAGCACAAGAATAACTAACAAATGACAAGCAAGAAATCTAACAATAATAATACTAAGCTACTAAATAGCATCTCTGAAGGATGTATCAGGCAAATTAAAAGCTAAAGCATTGAAAAGAGCTATCAAACAACAGCAACCACACTGAACAGATGAATGCTATACTGTTAACAAGAAATTTTGTGTTTCAGTGTTTGATCCATTTTAAAAGCTGAATCAGTCATTTTTGTTACTTTCTGTATTAGCATTCACATTCTATCACAATGAAGTAAAAAGCCAGGACAATCAAGGGCTCTGTCACTGTAAGAAGCTGAATTCTACAAACTCCATGCTACCCTCATGTGTTCTATTCTAGGAAGTACATTCAGAATAATGCCCCATTTTAAGGAATGATTTTGTCACTGAAAAGACAGCATGCTGATTTATAACAGAGACTAGAATATGTCACTATGCATACTTGGGTGTGGTAGCTTTTACTATACCCAATACCAATTGTAAAGTACACTTCACAATTATAGCAAATATTAGAATCAAAATGGTCCCTAAGTACCAAAATGTCTTTGACTTCCATGCCATTTTTACATTTTAATATGGCCTGGTGTTGTCAAACAGGATATAAGGAATTATTAGAAGTACTCACAGAAGAGTTGAGTGTGGTTCCCACAGGAAACAGAGCAATTTTCACAGGCAAAAGTGTGTTCAGAGCATTTGAAAAACTACTAAAATGTAGATTAAAAATATATTAAACTTCAAACCCTAACAGTTGAGCAAGAAACCAAGTCAGTAAGCCATACTAATTTATTCTCCCATATCAGGAAGGTCTTGAAATACACCTTGCTCCTCTTCATTACACTACATGATTATTAAATTTGAGACTGTTCAGCCACTCTCTAATCCTAATCTCTAATCTCTAATTATAATCTAATCTCTAGCTACAATCTAATCTCTAACTACAATCCGTTAATCTATTTTACTTGCTCACTTAACCAATATTTCATTTTGAAACACAACAGCTGCACTTCGTTAAGCAAGTCTTAGCAGCTCAAGAAATAAAGCATTTCCTTATGGAAGATTCATTACCTTACTCTGGTTTTAAAGCAAACCCAGGGTTTGTCAAAATGGGAACTTCAAAAATTGCTCAAAGGCAGAATGCAAGGAATTAGAAAAATTTAGTGTTAATCAACCTGTATGGGAACTGCTGAACTTCTGATTGATCACCTGATGCGAGCAATGTGTCAGCCACAGGAGCACAGGTGAAGGCAATTCACCTGTGCTGCCAGAAGGAGTGGAGCCTGGCTCCACTTCTCCTAGATCCATTTAAAAGCTGGCTACCAGTGTGGAAGGATTGCTTCTAGAGATCTACTCTGTGGGAGTTTTGTAAGTGAGCCAGAATAGGGGTAAGCTTTCTATTTATTCTCTTCTTCTCTTTTTGTTATTATAATCTGCTTTGCCTAACTCTCTTGTTTATTTTGTAATTATAATATCTTAATATTCATTGATTATACATAAGCAGTAACTTACCTTGTTTGAGTCACAAAAAGATGAAGAATTTTAACAGCTCACAATTAGCATCTATATTAGCCAGGAAGCTGCTAAAAGTCTGGACAGTAAAAAAAGTTTTTAACACCTGTGCCCATTGTATTGTCATATTTCAATTCCTTAATACAGATAAACTATATCACCTTCTAAATGAGAATTTCAGAAGACAAAAGAAGTAATTAATCCTGTTTGATTACTTTCTAATAGCAATGAACCAAATGAATGTTCTGTACTTTGCAGCACAACTCACAGTTTCAGTAAGTTAATTTACATCATGCATGCAGCTTCTTTCCATTTTTCCAAAACATACACAAAATAGGAGCTAGGTTTTCCAAACAGTTTGGGTACAAGAATAAAGTCCAATCTGATGTTTGGGATTTGGAGTTTCAGATACCAAGCTTTTTGTTTGGCCCTAGGCACTTCCAGATATCTTTATTGTTAGCAGAACATCCATCTAATCTGCTTCATATTTTTTAAGTCATAATTAAGCATAGATGGTGACATTTCCATTATGCATTTTAGAGATGTAAGCAATGGAAAGACCTATTATTTTAATCACATGGAGCCGTTTAGCCAGCATTCTTAGAATTAAAATTCACAATTTTGAGAAGTCATGGTACTGAAAGCTATGCAGCTATATCAAAGATCAGAGGCTGACAAAGGAGAAAACAACAGGCAGCATTATGAAACACAAACATATTTACTTACAAGATCTGCTTCTCTTTTCAGACAGAAGTGTTGACCTGACTTGGCTATAGAAGTGTTGCTGAGGCTCCCTCTAACACAATCTGGCAGGCAGTGCAGAATTGGCCTTTTACTATACAAACAGCAGTCAACTGGGATTACTAGTCAGAAGTCCAGGCATTTCTGTATAAAAGGCAAACAAGAAATCATACACATTTAGTTCAGCTTTGTTTTTTTTTTAAGCCAAGTAACATTTGTACAGGTGCACGTGCATTTCAGTCCAATCAAGCATCTGAGATAGGCACCAGCTTGAAATCTGTCTTCTTGAATATCCTTATTGTCCTCTTCAATATCTTTATTGATGACCTCGATGAGGGCATCGAGTGCACCCTCAGTAAATTTGCAGATGACACCAAATTGGCTGGAAGTGTGGATCTGCCTGGGGGTAGCGAGGCCCTACAGAGGGATCTGGACAGGCTGGAGAGCTGGGCTGAAGCCAATGGGATGAGTTTCAACAAGGCCAAATGCCGGGTCCTGCACTTCGGCCACAACAACCCCAGGCGACGCTACAGGCTTGGGGCGGTGTGGCTGGAGGACTGCGTAGAGGAAATGGACCTGGGAGTGTTGGTTGATGCTGGGCTGAACGTGAGCCAACAGTGTGCCGAGGTGGCCAAGAAGGCCAATGGCATCCTGGCTTGCATCAGAAACAGCATTGACAGCAGGAACAGGGCAGTGGTCATCCCCTATATTCAGCTCTGGTGAGGCCGCACCTCAAGTACTGTGTTCAGTTTTGGGCCCCTCACTGCAAGAAAGACATTGAGGCCCTGGAGCGGATTCAAAGAAGGGGGGCAAAGCTGGTGAGGGGTCTGGAGTGCAGGGCTTATGAGGAGAGGCTGAAGGAGCTGGGAATGTTCAGGATGGAGAAAAGGAAGTTCCAGGAGATCTCACTGCTCTCTATAACTACCTGAAGAGAGGTTGTAGTGAGCTGGGGGTCTGTCTCTTGTCTCGTGTAACTGGTGATAAGACCAGAGGGAATGGCTTCAAGCTGCACCAGGGGAGATTTAGGCTGGATGTTAGGAAATACTACTTTTCTGAAAGAGTGGTCAGGCAGTAGAATAAGCTGCCCAGGGAGGTGGTGGAGTCACCGACCCTGGAGGTGTTCAGGGAACGTTTGGATTTTGTGTTGAGGCACATGGTTTAGTGAGAACTGTTGGTGATAGGCAGATGGTTGGACTGGATGATCTTGTAGGTGTTTTCCAACCTTGCTGTTTCTGTGATTCTGTGAAAATTTTAGGTAGACTACAAGCTACATCACTTTAGTTTGGGGGCTTTGTCTGTTCTGTGCTTTTTTTTTCTTAGTTTCTCAGTTCCCACCCCTAAATATCTGATCCTATCAACATTATCACTCCTAATAGCTGAATAGCTAAACGGCTGTTTTCCAGGTAACAAGGTTGAAAAATGCTCAATTGTCCAAGTTCACACAAGGGAATTAACAGTGGCTGACAGACAGCTGTAGCCCCTCAAGGTATGGAAAGGAGACAAAAGCAGGCTGTCCACAAATGTCTCATCATTTATGTCTTGTATGGCAACAATAATGCATTTTTCAAAACAAACTGTCTCTAAAATCTCTGATTTTATTCTGTTCTGTTCTTTAAATTTCATAGCCAGAAGTATGTTCCACATTCTGATTAATAGTTTCCACCTTCTGCATATGTCCAGATTGCTTAAGGATTTCCACTTTCAGTCTTTCTTGACTATGGCCCAGTCTGGCCTACAGATCTAGAGAACCTTATCAGTTGTTTGGTTTTTTTTTTAAAAAAAAAAAGAGCAAAAGAAGTTGTCGGGTAACTCAGCCAATTTCTACTTCCTAGGCCCACCATGCTATTCCTTATCTGGTCCACACATTCCTTAATTCTTTCTTGCTGCTTATGAAGCTGTGACAGCCCTTCCTATTCTCCTTCTGATCTGCTACAATTTCCAGTCCCAGGTCAGAAGTTGCTGGTCCTTCTGCTCCTTTCTAGCCATGTCTACTTATCTCATGTAGCCCATCCCTACTTCCACCTATGTACAAGATCATTCTACAGCTGAGATAAGTCTGAGGTCACTATTTAGCCTTAGGGATCTTCTGCCATATCCTTCAGCTCATAAACTTCAAAACATTCTCATCTATGCTTCAAAGAAGCTGTGCTGGCAATCAAAAAGCTCTCTTGGGCCTTTTTTCTCTCCACTGTTGCCTTCAGTGGGATGTCATCTTCCATTTCTCCTAAGAAGTCAAAGTACATTCTTCTGGAAAAAAAAGGGCCATTGTTTTTCTATGTACTGTTTTCCGTCAGTAACACATGTAATGAACTAAGAAAATCATCTTCCTAGCATACTGATGAAGTGCCACTACTAATCTCAAATACATTCTAAAACGAAATGAAAGTGTATCCATGTTTCATAAACATCTTTTTTATTTCTCTGCGATAGATAATATCACTCTATTCTCCTAATTATGCAAATGATTACTGTAACACACTCTGCTTCTCAATCAAATTTGGAGGTAACAATGGCGAAAATAATTATCTCATCCATGTTCAAAATACTAAGAAAGAACAAAATCTTTGTTCCATTTAAATGCGCACAGAACCCAGTTGTTTTACATACTAGTTTTCTGGTCATCTCCAAAAAGCTTTATGTTCACCTACACTTTGGAAGAGGGTGAATATGGTAAGCTTGCTTACAGCATAACTTAGGTGCAGACACCACTAAAATCAGCATATTTATTTAATGCATTCAGAATTTTCTCTTTTTTCTTCTAGCTACGTAAAGTTATCTGAAGGAAAATCAAAATGTCAACTCTCACACCCTGTATCCTGCATTTCAAGTAGTAAACATATTGCATCTCATATGCTTTTATTCTGAGGCAAAGGATATGAGTTTGAAAGACAAGAACATAATTACATCCTCTTCTTGTTTCCAGATTTGTCTGCAAAACAGCCTGACCCTTATGGTGTTCATTCTCTTCTCCACCCTCAGCAAATTTGCTGATGATACGAAGTTAGGAGGATTGGCTGATACACCTGAAGGTTATGCTGCAATTCAGCAGGACCTGGACAGACTGGAGAGCTGAGCAATAAGAAACCAGAGGAGGTTTAACAAAGCAAGTGTAGAGTTTTTCATCTGGGGAGGAATAATTGCATGCACTGGTACATGCATGGGATGAGCTGCTGGAGAAGAGCTCTGCAGAGAGGGACCTGGGCATCCTGGTGGACCAGGTTGGCCATGAGCCAGCAGTGTGCCCTCGTGGCCAAAAAGGCCAATGGCATCCTGGGGTGCATTAAAAAGAGCGTGGCCAGCAGGTCGAGGGAGGTGATCCTCCCCCTCTACTCTGCCCTGGTAAGGCCTCACCTGGAGTACTGTGTCCAGTTCTGGGCTCCCCAGTACAAAAAGACAGGGATCTCTTGGAAAGAGTCCAGCGGAGGGCCACAAAGATGGTGAAGGGCCTGGAGCATCTCTGCTATGAAGAAAGGCTGAGTGAACTGGGTCTGTTCAGCCTTGAGAAAAGATGACTGAGAGGGGACCTGATCCAGGTCTATAAATATCTGAGGTGTGGGGGCCATAGTGGTGAGGCCAGTCTCTTTTCAGTGGTGAGTGGAGACAGGACAAGGGGAAACGGACATAAGCTGCAGCATAGGAAGTTCCGCACAAATGTGCAAAGGAACTTCTTTATGGTGAGGTGTTGGGGCACTGGAACAGGCTGCCCAGTATTTTCTACATTTATCTCATCTAAGATTCACTGGATATAAATAACTGCTGGATTACAGTCATGATACATCTTATTTGGCAACAAAGCCAAAACTCTATTGTTTGTGCAGAATTAACAGTAGAGAGACTTAATTATAACAAAGGTAAAAATGACTTAATGATAACAGACTCCAGGGAGACTGGGATGCAAGAAAGGTGTCTTGGAATGAAAAGTGAACTATAGCAAGTCCTCCACATATTTCAAATCTTTTAATTCAAAATCTAAATATTCCTATGTCACAGTTGGAAAAGAAAATGCAAGTTGTTTGCTCTACTGTGAATAAAAGTGGAAGCAATTTTGTGGGCACTGATGAGTTGTTAATGATACAAAAGCCACAATATTGTGAAGAAAATGAAGTTTCTCTAACTACAAAAAAAAGCTACGGTCAGCTGATTAATTTTCTGAAGCAGAAAACTAAGTGTTCTCACTGAATTGAGATCCAGAAGCAATTCATGAGGTAATGATTTTTGGCTAAAAATTACATCAAGTTAAATCTATGTGCAGCAGTTGTAGTAAATTAAAAAAAAAAGAAAAAAGAAAAAGAAAAACTAGCAATAGGAAGTGCTGCCATTTTCAATCTAATCAATGCATTCCAAAAGCACCATAATGTTAGATTCGTCAACACAGCTTACTAGAACCTCCCAACTGTGCAGTAGGACAAAAAAAGTTATAGATGTATGGATGAGTACTGATGCAATACAAGCTGGTAAGCTTCTCCTGACTTGCACTGGGCTATCTGATAGATCTCAAGTCATGGAGCTGAATCAGAGAGAAATAACTACTGTCTGAAACTACCTAACTTTGTCTCTGGATTTCCTCACTTGCATATACACAAAAGGACCAGAAATGAACAATGCTTGGAACATGCAAGTGAACATTGCCATGGAAGAAAGCAGGAGTCTTTCATGAGAATATTCCTCCTCTCTCTTCCCTAACAGAACATGAATAGACAATGCATTTTCACTGCAGTATCAACACATTAACCTTACTTTTACTTTTTCTTTTCACTTCATCCTTTCCATCCTTTTTCCCTTCATACTGAATTATTATTCCACTCATATCACACATGATAAAGTCTAGATAAACAGTATATCTCAGTCCTGCAAGGATAAATGGCCTTGTAAGGGACTGAAAACACTGTAGCTCCATCCAGCTGCCTGCTTCAGGAATTGCTTGCTGCTGTGATCTCAAACACTAATCAAACCTCTTTGAATACGCAAAAGAGCATTTAGAGATTGGTTACGCTTTCAAGGCTCAGAACAGCTTTTTATAAAATATAAGCCATCCTCTAGCAAAGTGTGGCTTTTCCACATCTAGTTCCCTTCTTTCAACCACCATACAGTTTTTAATTGACACACTTTGACAGAAGTACTGTCAAAACAAAATAAAAATAGCTCATTGTTTTGGAGTATAATTATTCTCAGCTGTGATTCTTTCTCTACGACTGAAGTTTCCTTTGTAGAAGACTTACAACACAGTCCTAAATGTTCCTGAAAAAGGGATCAGAAAATACAGTTCCAGCCTCATTTCTTGTACTATTACCCTTCACATTCTCAAGTCATTCTACCTTGCAGGTTGTGTTTAAAACAAGGAAGACCAAGTTAGTCAAGCTCACATCTGATTAATTTACAGGTGTTGCTGTGTTTTCAAAACACAAAAGCATCCAGCAGGCTAATACTTACATTTTGTTTGTTTGTTTGTTTGCTTTTTCCTTTGCATGCATGTTCTTGACACTTTTGCCAAGAGCTAAGAAGAGGTAATCTCTTTCTTGTGGAACATCTAGATGTTTTTCCTTTCAGGAACTTTCAGTTACTGTCCTGGTTTTATGATTTCTGTTACCAGTGTTGAACACCATAACATCATGTAGCACACTGAGAGTTAAAGATTTAATGCTCTAGTTCCATGGATTCTCAGTATTTGCAGATATCTGGTTCACAGAAGAAAAGAACTACATCTCCCAGAAGTCCTCACTGTCCTATTTCCATTTTCCATTCAGAGGGAAAGATAAAATTGCTCAGGAGTCATGAGATCAGCCCTTCCTTCACTGTTGGTCTCTGTAGTGTGCACTCCCCAGCCATCTTACCTTCAGTACTAAAGTAAGACCTTTGGTTTTGAAAACTCTCTCACTCATTTTATTTGATTTATTAGCTTCAATTCCAATTATAAGCATTATATTGTGTTATCTCACATTCCAATACCATAATCAGTACATTAGTTTTCTCCCTTAGCTTGTTGACACCATTTCATTTTTAGGCCCATCTCTCTACCTTTTCCCTACCCTTTTCCCCTTCCCTAGATGTAAGTCTGTGGATCCCTCCATCCTATTAGTCACAGAACCAAAACAAACCAGGCCCAAAACCACTGACAGTTATTTAGAAAAACTGTTCATTTCCTTGAAGCTGAATCCCCAAGTATATCCTGACTTTCCTGTCCTCAAATGTTAGTACCCTGATTACTAAAGCAGGGACCTCTTTTAAACCACTCAGCCTCCCTTAACTTCTACGTGGAATAATCTGATTTAGGCTTAGATGGAAGTTCTTTCCTCCTAGCAGTCCTGTAGAAGAATAGGTGTCAGGCTGTAAAACATTACAGCACAATAAACACTATCTCCTTTTCAACTTCTTCATGACTGTTACAGGGCACTTACCTGGTCACCAGTGGTGGCAAACAGCTCTGCCCAATAATATTAACCCAAGTTTTGAACTTATTTCCAGTTTCTTCAAGTTTAGCTATGAATTGGCTGGAGCACAATACTTGAGTATTAGAGATTATTTTGATTTATTTATTTATTTATTTATTTTGAAGGACAGAAAATTGTAACTGGAAATAACAATAAAACTAGATTACATTCTGCCATGTTTATTACAGGTGCTCTCTTGTCTGTTAAAAATAAAGGAAATCACCATGGCTGTTTTTACCTGGTAACTGGAGAAGACCTAAAAAGGATGAAGAGAACTTCGTATTTCAATCTACTACAAATACAACTCTAATCAGACAGAAGAGTTTTCCTTATGAGCACTGAGTTAAATCTGGTCCTTGGAAATGAGTTCTGATTAAAAATAATAAAAATAAAAATAAACAATGGAGAAAGCAAGGTGATACCAGGCAAAATTAGGACTTGTACAAATTTGGAATGGAATCTGCCATGGAAGTTTCAAAAATCACACGTGTATATATGGTCACCTGGCTCAAGAAAGTGGGTAGCTCAATACATGAAAGAATGCAAAATTGAACCAACACCTCCAAGGTATGGAAAGTTATCAAATGACATTTTAATAAAAGACAAAAAGGTAACATGTGGTTTAAGTCTCTCTCTTGAACCTAGTGGCTAATTGAGTCTCGGTGCTTTTATGTTCTAGAACCAGAACTAATCACAGTCACTGGGGTAAAAAAAAACACCCTTGTAGCTCCACAGCAGTTAGCACTGCTCCACCTGAAGCTAGCAAAGACCATACAAAATCTTCAACAGTTCTTCCAGACACATCCTTTTCACTCATTCTAGAAGGAAGCTACCTTTTTATCTAACTGAATCCTTAAGAAACACACAGGAAATGAAAAAAAAAAAAAACCAAAACACCTAAACACAGACAGGTATTTTGCAGAGGTTTGGAACATAGCCATATTCTCTTGTTCATCACTTGTCCTTGAGAGCAGCTCGGCAGAGAAGGACCTGGAGGTCCTGATGGACGAGGGACTGAACATGAGCCAGCAGTGCGCTCTGGCAGCTCGAAAGGCAAATGGGATCCTGGGCTCCATCAGGAGAGGGGTGGTCAGCAGGGACAGGGAGGTGATTGTCCCTCTCTACTCGGCTCTTGTGAGGCCCCATCTGGAGTACTGTGTCCAGGTGTGGAGCCCTCAGTACAAGAAAGACATTGAGATTTTGGAAAGGGTCCAGAGGAGGGCGACTAAGATGATCAGGGGGCTGGAGCACCTCCCCTATGAGGACAGGCTGAGGGAGTTGGGCTTGTTCAGCCTGGAGAAGAGAAGGCTGCGGGGTGACCTCATTGCAGCCTATCAATACCTGAAGGGAACCTACACCCAGGAGGGGAGTAAACTCTTCAAAAGGGCTGACAACAGCAGGACTAGGGGAAATGGATCCAAGTTGAAGGAGGGAAGATTGAGGTTGGATGTTAGGGGGAAGTTCTTTACAAGGAGAGTGGTTAGGCCCTGGAACGGGAGGTTGTGGATGCCCCGTCCTTGGACGTGTTCAAGTCCAGGTTGGACGGGGTCCTGGGCAACCTGATCTGAATGTGTACGTTTGGTGGCCCTGCTAGGCAGGGGGGTTGGAACTACATGATCCTTGAGGTCCCTTCCAACCCGGGTGATTCTGTGATTCTGTGTGATCACTTGCTCCATTATTTGAAGCTGGATAAAAATAATAAACTTGACCAAATATTTCACTCTAGAGTGCTCAAGTATTCTGGGTTGCTCTGTAGGTTGAAGATGCTTCATTTGAATAGGTCCAAGTTTATTCTCTATATTCTTCAGCTTTTCCGATGAAATATTTTCAGACCAAACTTACTCCCTATGTGATACGCACATAAAAACTGAATTCTACTCAGTCCAAGATCTTCTGTTTCATACCAGGCTTTTTCATAGAATCATAGAATGGCTTGGATTGGAAGAGACTGTAATGATAATTTTTGTGTAAGTTCTGCCTTCTTCACATCTTTGTAACCATTCCCATGGATGCCACTTTGACTGTGACTAAGGCAATTTGTAAAGCCAATATAAGAATATAACATCCACACAGTACAAATTTCTGCACAATGTTTTTTGTTCTTTTGACAAGTTCTATTTTGGCTACAAGAGCCTAATACCTGTTTTTGGCTGGAATATATTTAATCTGTCCCATTTCATCCAAAATCAATCAAATCCACAGAGTCCAATGCTGATCCAAAAATAAAAACCAAAACAGAGCTAGATTCACTTGTAAGAATAGTATTGATCCAAACTAAAATATATCCTTTACTCTATGTTTAAGCCCTTGAAATTTGAAGGAAAAAAAAACCTGATCCATCAGTTTTTTGTACCAGTAACCTTCCATGTTGAGTTTTTTTTCCTGTGGATCCCTGCTTAACACCTTGTTAATATCTCTCATTTACAGCAATATAACGATGGTATTATTTGCACAATGTGACCTAAATTCCACCAGACTTATAAAATGTACGATAATAACCTAATTGCTCTGAATTTCTAAGCCCTGTCCAGTCTCTTCAGTATCCCCACTGCTTATAAAAAAAAAACAAAAACTCCCAACCCATCCCCACCTCTAACTGCCAGATGTCTCGAGAGCTTTTGCAGATGTACCAGTACATGACACTTAGCTCAATCATTTAGTTAAGTGATTGCAAACACTGCAACAGCACAACTTTAAATCATATTTCTGTCTACTTCAGGTAGATCATTTCCATTTTCAGCCCAAGAAGATTAAAGTCTGAGACCAGCAGTTGCTTACATGCTGTTGATAAAACACATTCTATATTTTGGGGAAACAGAAGAGAACAGAAGATCTTCCAACGAGTGGCTCAGAACCCTCAGCAGTATAAACATATTACTTTCCCATCTCCTTTTTTTTTTTTTTTTTTTTTTTTTTTGCTTGTTTTAAATACTTACTGGGATGAAATTTGCCATATCCCTGTGCTGTAGGTCATATCAAATTTTCCATTCAAAAATTTTTTTCAGCATTGGTTGGTTCACTGTTGTCTGACATGTTTTAAGCTCAGTTCTAATCTTCTAATCATTTGAACATTATTTCTCATTTTTTAAGGTACTGATGAACACACACATCTAAAACTTATGCACAGTTCACTTGTTAGCAAGCTGACCTGGTTTTGGCTGGGACTGTTACTTTCTTCATAATGGTATGATGCAATGTTGGTAACACACGAATGTTGTAGTTGTTGATTAACAGCGCTGCAGAGCGTTAGGACATTCCAGTTTTTCAGCTTCTCATACTGTCCTGCCAGCAAGGGAGGCTAAGGGGGTACAATGAGCTCGGAGGAGACAAAAGTAGAACTGCTGACCTAAACTGGTCAAGGCTGTAGGGGTCAGCTGTTACTCAGGGACTGGCTGGGCATTGGTTGGTGGGATGAACAATTTTATTATGCACCACGTGTTTTGTAAATGAAAATGTTACTTTGCTCTGAAAGTAATGCCTCCTACTTTATTATGCATGTCCAAAACGTCAGAGGCAGATGGTAGTGGTATGGCAGTAGGGGATGAACCTTCCCACCAGAACTCAATTACATTTTATTGCCATGACAAAAATTGCAGGAGAGAAACAGTCTGACAAAACTGACAGAAGGTGCACATGAGGCAAAGGTGTGTAATTGCAGAATAAAGGTCATATCCAATTTCAGATAACTGCTGAACATTTACTGAAACCAAACAGTGGATGTGAGCACAACGAGGTGGCAGGTTGAGCAGCTCAGCAGTAGTGATTATGGGTCACCTCTGCGAGGTGGTCTAAGGTGTGTTTTTTGTTTGTTTTGTTTCTTTTATAAGCTCAGCCTGGAAGCTTTTGCAGGCAAAAAAAAAGTCAATGATTTTGATTGTGTTGAAAATAAAAAAATAGCATTCTGTAACTGAGAATTTGCTCCATGGAATGTTGTGCTCTTTATATGTTTACAGTTTCCACAGAAATAAGAGGCAGTTCTCTTCTCTTCTCTTTTCCCAGTGAGAGGGAGGAAAGTAGGTGAACAGCTCTGTGGTATATTGTTTTTCTGCCTGCAAAGTTAAATCACAACATCAGCTCATCTTGTACCTACTTTTGCAAAACCTTCCTAAAACATGTTTATCTGCAGGTCAGACACCAAATACAGCAACAAAAGCTTTGATAATGTTCCTCTGATACTGGATTCAGCTGTGATGCAATCAATTTGATCAACCACATATTAACTCACAAATGGTAACGTTGGTAAAAAAAACAAACACATAAAATGAAAATCAGAAGAGTGAAAGCTGTGCACATTTCACATATGTATCCCTATCTGCTGCTCTGTCTGAGAACTGTCAGAGAATGCTTCCAAGTTGAGTAATTTCATATGCTTTTACCAAAAAAAAAACAAAAACAACAACAACAACAAAAAAAACACTTTTCAGCTGAACTAACCTATCTCACAGTTTTTGCCTGTCTACCATTCTCTACACACCCACTTTCTTTCTCTAATGCCCTTGATGTTAAAACTGTACTCTGAAGAAGTGGTGATCACAAATATAATTTTCTTATGGCATCTGCTTAAAGAGTTCCAACAGTAAGCAGCAATAAAACTGGTTAACTAGGCCTTCTCAATTTTAGCACAAAGAACAGTTGCTTTATATTTACACTGGCAGACACTTCAGTGAGCCTAATTCAGGAATAACTATCTTGCAGAGATTTGGTAACAGTATTAAGAACTGTACAATACTGACAAAGTGCCATACTGAAGGACAAATTGTGCCCAATTAAATCTCTAAAATGCACACTTACATTATGAAACAACTTGAGCATCTTAAGAGGTCCTACATAAATAGTTTAACATTTTCAAGTCCTCAATTCTATCAAAATCATGATGTAGCTATAAATACAATATCATCTATGGTATAGTTTCATAGTACTTTTAGACTACTGCTTAATCCTTTTTCATAGGAAAAGGATGACAGAAAGGCCTTATTAAGCAGATACTGATGGAATGCTTGAACTGGAGTTGTACGTTTCTAAAACAACACAGTTTGCTTGAAACAGTTCCTGCATGTTTGTAATTTCACACACACACACACAAAAAAAAAAAAAAAAAAAAAAAAAAAAAAAAAAACTCTGTAAGTTGTAGCTGCAGCTTTCGAAAAGCTTGTTTTTTTCCAAAAGGGCATGAAAAACTCCTATACAGTTGCATCCTCAGGTTTCAAATGACAAGACAAATCACCATCTGTAGAACACTGCTAATAGTAGAACCACACACATCCCAGACACAATATTTTAACTTAGGTAGAACCAATTCCATCAGAAAGACACACGAGACAGATCATTCTCACATGCTGTATCTTTATTGTGCAAGTGTTGTTCAGAGCATTTATTACCCTTCAAAGACAACATATCCAAGAACAATTTACATTAACAGTGGCTAAGTTGACGGGAAACAAATCTATTTGCTATGATTTGTACGCATGCAGCATCTCTTGTGGTGTAAAAATCTTAGCCAGGAGGCCAGCCCAACTGACGACCTCCCAGAATATGGAGATGTACATGATAGACAGACTGCCCACCCTCAGGCCCTTCATTCAAAACCATCCGGAATCCATTGGTCAGGCCCAGGTTAGCAGCACACTTCTTGCCAACAATCATTAAATGCCCAAGAAGCTGGAGGACAAAAAGAAGGGAGAGGGCAAGAAGGGAAGAATGAGAGCAGAGAACTACTTAGAGGTCAGTTAATTCTAAGAAATCCAGCCACAGCTCTTCAAATTGCCATCTGTTTGCAATTGACATTCTCCAAGCAAAGCTATAAAGACTGACTGTGCATAATACAGGAAGAAAGAGCAAGCTATGGAATGTTTTCAAGCTAGACAGTAACGAACTACAAAGTACCAGAGAAGCTATACTTGTATCACAGTTAAAGGCCTGGCTACTTCTGCAGGCAGCATAAATAATTAAAGAGGAAAAGAAATTTCATCTTGCAAACCTGTAACTGCTTTAGCTAAAAAATGCACTGTTCAGCAATTTACAGCTGAATCTTCCTTTCTTCAACTCTCATCTACCAGACCCAATCTCTGGTCTCCACATTAGAAGTACTACTCTACATATTCTCCATAAGAAGTACTACTTACCATAAACTAGAGTTCAGACATACATTAAACTGTACTCCAAAATATTGCATTCTGCACTGCAAGTACATACCCAGAGATTTGTTTAGCATTATATCACTACCTTTACCGGAAAAGCTGAGTTCCATTCCCATTCTAAACTAGAACCAACAACTACAGTATCAGAAAACTACTTTATTTCTTCATAATGTCAAGATGAAAAGGGGGAGAGAAAAATATATTATGAAGTATTTAAAAGTAGTTTAGTGTACAGAAAGCTTCTACAGTACTTACAGATTCATCAGAATCTTCTGCTTCAGATAACCTGACAATTGGCTTCTTGGGAATCACTAGAAAATGCGTTGGAGCTTGGGGTGAGATATCATGGAACGCAAGGCACTGGAAGAAAAACAGATAAAAAGTAAACGCTTCAGAGAAAGGTAACAATTGAAGGAAATCAGTATGCTCTGTGACATGTGCACTTAGGCAGATTATCAGATATTCTAAACATAACCAGAGATGTTTTTTTCTTGAGTGATATATATTAGTCACGTTTATGATTTCTACACACTGAGCACCTACTTAACAAAACTTAATGGTGTGAACAGAGAATGACCATTTTTTAAAAGCATTATTCAGGAGCTGTAGTCAGCAAGTGACTTAACAATTTTTCTTCTCAAATATGTATAACAACTAAGAGATCTGATGACACACATATCTATAGAAAGTACATTTATTCTCATTTTTCCTCTTATTGCTCAGTTCATTAAGAAAAGAGCAAACAGTTGCCAACCGTACTGCAAAAACATCTAAGTATTGCTTTGGTCAGAAATAGGGAACCTGCTTTAGTGAGGGAATTGAACTAGACAGTCTTCAGAAGTCCCCAGCAAATCCTACAATACCGTGACAGCAAGGCAGCTATGCAGTTGAAGCCATATTACATTTCCTGTTTTCAGTAACATCAAGTATTTCAGAGAAAGACAATTTCAAAATAGTGTATTAAGGCTGCTATTTCAGATATTTCCAGACTGAGAAAAAGAATCACCTTAGAAATACAGACAGCAATGCATGGTAAGTAATTTACTCCTACCTTCTTTTACACAAGTACCAAAATTTGTTCTGGAACTTCATGCAGTACCTTCTTAGAAATAGCAAATAAGCCTCAGCATAGACATTTACCTCCAGAAGTAGGATGCAAGAGAGCAAGGGTAAGGAGACAGACGTTTCCTTTAAATCAGGAAAGTCCAGTAGGTGGAGAAAGAGAAGGGAAAAGACTTCTATGCCTGTTTGTGCAAATAACTGGCGATAAAATCAGATTTTGGTACTGCAGGCATCACAGTCTTCAGAAGCCCAGACCGTGTTCTCACTTAGCTACTGGTAGCTAGAGGTCATCTCTGACTTACTCATCCACTTCACAGCAAAACTTACAGCAGTAACATTCCTCAAAACACATCTTTCCTAGAGGTTTCATTTATTTGTTAACCAATAAGGAAATTCCTATGCAACTCCAGATCTACAGCGTTTCTAGTTCTCCTGCAGCAACTGAAGCCATTGTTAAGCTTTATAACATATTACTTTATTCTCAATCCATCTTACCTTAAACTACCTTTGCAAAGAAGGTCAGTTTTAGATTTCTGTTGAACTGTTTGTTTCTCTCTACTAGAGAGGCAAAGATTAATCAATGATTAGAACTAATTTGCACATAATTACATAAATTTTACATTGTACTCATTTTTTCAAAGCAATTTTTCTGTGCTCCATGGGGGAGTGCATATGCATAAACTAATTCAAGTAAGTTAATGAGCCAAAACCCAGCAACAACTAATTTTCTGTAGAATAGGTAGCACAAGTAGTAGTCAACAATCAGAAAAGAAAAACTGAGGGCACACAGGAAATCAACTGTCACCTTCACAAGTGCCATTTTTATTTCTGACACAATTAAAAGAACAGTGACAAGGTTTAACTCTACAGAGACTTCGTACTTTTTATTATTTTTCTCTGCATGTCTATTTACAATGCAAAGTCTTCCCTGTATCACTATTACCTCACTTTAATCTCTAAACATATCCTCAGTACAATTAATAAAGTAAATTAAAGATTATTTTCTGTAAAAAGCAACTAAACTCTGAATGCACAGATTCAGGTAAAAATCAAACAAGACTGCAGTTAATCACTCTTCAGTATTGGTACTGAAGAGTATTCAGTATTGAGTACTCAGTATTGGTGGCTGTCAGAGCCGCTTATCTACTGACAAGATTGATCAGGCAGCCAGCAGCACCCTTCTCAATCAAGCAATTGTAAGGCTCCTGGCAGGACAGCTGAGGGAGAATCTCACGCAGCTTTCCCTTGGTATAGAAAGGACACAAACACATCCCAACACAAAGGCACAGTATCCTGATACTCTGAAGCCAGGGCAACTTCTCTTGAAAGTATACAGCAGCTGCAACATTACTACGATTTGTTAAAACATTGTTTCAGGCTGCCCATGATTGTTAAGCTCACAAATAAGGCACGGAGATGTAGCCGCAGGTACATCGTTATTTCAAGAGACACCCATCTAGAGTATCGCACTCAAGACAAAAAAACTGATGTTAGGGTAAATGCTAACTCAAAGCCAACACCTCGCAGTTAACACCTGCATTCACATCCGAACCAGCTTACTGAGTTCCCGTACACCGCGATGAACCAGCAGCCAAGTCTCTGACCGCAGATCCCCAGTCACAGGAAGGCTGCTTCCAGACTTCTACCAACAGAACCAGAAGCTAGAACGCTCCCTCATTTCCTACTTTAATGGCGCAGCCCAGAGATCCGTCGCAGGGCCCGGGGGGTAGAGCCCCACACGGTCCACGGCGCATCGAGACGGCGCTGCTGGATC